ATAATTATTATTTTAATAAAATAATAATAATAATAATAATTTACTAAAAAATGCTACAAGAAAATAGCTTCAGAATAATATTAGGAAGGAAAGGCAGCTTGAAATAGCTGAAGTTGGCTTTTATGAATTTAAAACTCAGCTATGCCAAGTTATTAATTATTTGATATTACATTATTTCATCGCCGCCGTTAAGCACAATCGATATTTTAATAATTTTAAGAACAACCTGGAATATGATACATGTATTATAATAAAGGATTTTTCTGAAAATTACAGCTTTATCATACATTTTACATCTGAACAATCAGTTCAATCTTTATACTATAACAATTCATAAGCTACTTTGCATGCATTTTGTATTTATTTTAAGAACGATGAAAGCGAAAAACTGTAAAATGTTAATGACTGCGTAATCAGTAATCCACAACACCATCTTGCTTATTTTATAAATGCGTTTACAGGAAAACATATGTCCGTACTCAAAGTTGAGTACAGTTGATTGAAGAAAGTAATAAAATTTTCAGACGAAACAACTCAGCAATACAAAAACAAGTAATGATTTTTTTGATTACTTTAAAATATCTTATACGTAAATATTCAAATTTATTTGATTTAATGTTCTTTTTTTTTCAGAAACCATTTAGTTAATATAATTTACCATAAAGAAGATTTTGCAGTTCTTCTTCTTTTTCTTCTTTTTATGTAGACATGACTCTGTCTGTTTTTCAATGTGCCCTCAGTAAGTTGTCGTTCCATCGTTTTCGTGGTCTTCCTATTTGTGGACCGTCTTTCGGCGTCTTTTCTACTCTATTTAATATCTTCTTCTTCTTCTTAACATGCCATACACCAAAGTGCGTAGGCGACTATCTCATTACTAGAATTCTGTTCTTGGCGGCGTGACACAGCTCACCTGTATTGTGTATTCCTGTCCATTCTTTAATATTCCTTAACCAGGACAATTGTTTGCGGCCGGCTCCTCTCCTACCTTCGATCTTCCCTTGTAGGATTAACTGTGGTATTTCATATTTTGCTCCTCTCAATATGTGCCCAAGGTAACCAATCTTGCGTTTTTTAATTAATTCAAAGAGTTCTCTTTCCACGCCGGCTCTATTAAGGACGTCATCGTTTCGAACTCTATCCACCCAAGGTATGAGCATCATTCTTCTCAATTACCACATTTCAAATGCTTCAAGTTTGTTGATAGATGTTTTTTTCAAAGCCCACGTTTCCATGACATAAAGCAAGATGGACCATATTGTTAATTACATAGGAGCGGTCTGAATTTCACAAAAGCTTGTCTTGCCATTTGTATTCGGGTTTTTATCTCGTGTTGTGGATCCGATTGATCATTGATTATGGTGCCAAGGTATTTAAAAGTTTTCACGCGATTTATACGATTGTCACCTATGCATAATATCGGGTTTTCTGGAGGCTTTCTGCTAATGACCATGTATTTCGTTTTCAAAATGTTGATTTTGAGGCCATATTTTTTACCTATGCTATTCACCCTATCAAGTAATAACTGCTGATCTTCCAAATTATCAGTTATAATTACTGTGTCGTCCGCATAGCGTAGGTTGCTAATTGGTATGCCGTTCACCTTAATGCCTAATTCCGTATCTTCTAATGCTTCCGCAAATATATTTTCAACATATAAATTAAAAAGCATCGGAGAGAGTATGCAGCCTTGGCGGACACCTTTCCGGATTTCAAATTCATCCGTATATTGGTCTTGATCAATCCTCACCTTTGCCATTTGGTTCCAGTATAGATTCTGAATAATTCTGATCTCCTTCTGGTCAATGTTGGCCCTATGTAGTAGTTCCATCATGATATCATGTTTAACATTGTCAAATGCCTTCTCGTAGTCGATGAAGGTGAGGTAGACATCTTTTCGTTGATCTAAGCAGTTTTGTATTAAGGTGTTCAAACATAAAATTGCCTCTCTTGTTCCTAGTCCTCCCTTAAAACCGAATTGTGTTGACCCGCTAAGTTCTTCTAGTATCTTATACATTCTTGAGTGTAATATCCTAAGGAAGAGTTTCAACAAGTGACTCATTAAACTGATTAAGCGGTGTTCATTGCATTTTGTGGCATTAGCTGTTTTTGGGATCATCACAAAGGATGACTGCAGCCATTTTTGCGGAATGTAACCAGTATCATAAATTCTATTGAACAGCCTTACCAAGATTTCGATATTCTCCTCGTCTAGTAGTTTTATTGCTTCTATATTAATTTCATCTGGATTTGTTGCTTTATGCATCTTTGTGGTTCTAACTGCATATTATATTTCACTTCGCATTATTGATGGCCCTGATAAGTTTTCGGAAGGAAGTTTGCGCGTTGGTTGTGTTGGTCTTTCGTCATTAAAAAGGCTTTCTGCGTATTCTTTCCACGCCATTGCTATCTCTTCTTCTGACTCTATGTATTCGTTTCTGTCGTTGCGTATTCTTGTTCTGTGGTGGCTTTTGTGTATATTCGATATTTCTTTGATCTTCTTATGTAGTCCAAAACTATCTCCTTTTTCCTGCAATTGTTCTATTTCGTTGCACCTTTCCACCATCCAACGTTCTTTTGCTTTCTTAATTCTCTGACGGATTTCTTTGTGTATCTGTTTGTATTTGTCTTGATTACGTTGTTGTTTATGTTGCCTTCGCTTTTCCATTAGATCCATAATTTCGTCCGTCATCCATTCGTTATGCTTTATCTTTCTGATCTGTGTTTTAACTTCCCTGTTTACTGCCAGAATCGTTCCTTTAATATCATTGACCATCTCTTCGATATCATAATTTTGTTCTATTACTCGCATTCTTTCATTAATTTGATTCGCATAACTCTTCTTCAGATTTTCGTCTCTCATCAGTTCTCTTGTATTTATAGGTGTGCTGGTATTTGTATTTGTTCTCTTAATTTTTGCTAGTTTTAAACTCACATCTGCTATTAGCGGATTATGATCGGATGCAATATCAGCACCTGGATATGCGATTCTTTTGATAGCGTTACGAAATCTTCTGTTTATTAAAACGTAGTCAATTTGGTTTCTAATTATTCGATTTGGACGGTCTCATGGTGATCTCCAAGTATATAACTTACGAGGTGGGAGCTGAAACCATGTGTTCATGACGACAAAACCGTTCTCCTGGCAGAATTCACACAGCAGGTCGCCTCTTTCATTTCTAACTCCAAGGCCGTACTCTCCAATTATGTCTTCATATCTTCCTTTACCCACCTTGGCGTTAAAGTCGTCCATTATTATGTTTATGTCCTCTTTCTATGTTAGTCTTATTGCTTTTTCCAGATCTTTATAGAACTTAGTTATTTCTTCTTCTGACTTATCTGCTGTTGGTGCATATGCTTGTGTCACATTTATGTTTACTGGTTTGCCTGTTATTTTGATCAACATGACTCGTTCGGAAATTGGAACAAAATCTGTCACCGATTTACTGCTTTTATTTTTATTTAATATCATTCAGCTTATATGATCGTTCCATTCTACTCTTCTATTTCTTACCCAGTGCTTGATGGTCTTCAGTTTGCATCTACGTCGTATATCTGTACTTGTGTGCTGTACTTCTAGCACTTACCTGAAACCTTGTTGTTCTTCTGCTAGTGTTATAATTTCATTCAATTTATTTGTTATTACTTTGGTTGTTAATTTTAGTGTTGTAATAATTAATTTGTGTCTCCCTTTTTAAAGAGAAGCTTTAGAATGCTCGAATCTCAATTCTTGAGCAATTCTGTTTTGTTCAATTATTTTTATATAATAGTTGGTTGGTCAGATCTGGTCCTCTGTACTTTAGGAGTTCGTTAGGTATTCTATCCTCTCCTGGTGATTTCTTTATTTAATTTTCTTAATGCTCGTTTTACCTCTTCCTTCTTAATATTTATTTCTTCGATTGTCGTCACCTCTGGTGTTGGTGGTTTAGTATCGTCACCTTTAGCAAATAGGGATCGAATGTAGTCTGCCATGTTTCCTTCTGAATGTGTTTCGTTTTTATTAGTTCATTCATCTCTTTTCTTTGTCCTCTTATCATTCTTTATATTTCTTTTTGTGTGTCGTAGAAGTCGTGTTCCATCTGTTTGGAATAGCTTTGCCAGTGTTCCCTTTTTATTTGTCAAACTAAAGTATTCATTTCATTTCTGATTCGTTTATATTTTTTGTATGTCTGTTGTGTTTGTTGTGTTCTGTATTGTAAAAAGACTTTCTTCTTGTCTTCACATTTTATTTTCACTTTTTCTCTAAACCATGGGGTTTTTATTTTTGATATTTTCGATACTTTCCTTTATCCAAGTGATTCTGTTGCTGCGTTAATTATATTATTTTTGAGTTTTTCTCAGATTTCCTCGATGTTATCGTTTTCTTATATTTCATTCCTGGCAATGTTCTCTGATAATATTTTTTTTTGTATAATTATTCCGTGAATTCCGTATTTAGTCCTTTGACTCTGATTTTTGTTTGTGTTGGCGCCGCTCTCTTGGGTGTGAAGTATTTCATGATGATTCTTATTTTTCATAACGCTATGCTATGGTTACTACCTATATCTGCTAAGTTGAGGCATCTTACGTCAATTATTTAAAAAAAAAAAGATCGTGTAACCTTCTGGCTAAGGTCTAAGGCTAATCTTTAAAGAATTTACACATTTTGTTTAACATAGATCTTTGTCGGCGGGTGTTATTAAATGTATATTTGTGTTGATCTTTGTGGTAAAAATTTCATTTTTAACATTCTTATTATGTTTTTGCCTAATTCCGGGTATTACTTGATTGCCTATTCGAACGTTAAAATCCCTTAATATTATCATCTTCATACATATATATATATATATATATATATATATATATATATATATATATATATATATATATATATATATATATATATATATATAGTAATCGAGTACGGTACTGTCTGTTGAACAGGTAGACAAAACTTGTTTCCTGCTCTTACCTGTCTTGAGGTTTAGATCGTACTTTCAGTACTGTAGACTCTGTTTGGTAGGTGAGGTTAGTAAGTGAGTGCGCCGAGAAATTACCGTTGGTTCTGTCAGTTTTTTTGTATTACCAAGGAATTTGAACTGTTTACTCGGTTTTCACATGTGCTTTTCTTCTAGTTCTTGTGGATTTTAACTCAAGGTACGTAGACATTTCTTCTATTTCGCAGAATAAAATTGAAATACTGAATAAAGAACGGGAAGCCCTTACGGTTTGTAAGCAATCATTGGTGCATGTACTGAGTTTCTTGAAGGTCGTAGCTGTATCAAGGGATACTTGTTGTATATGCATCTTAAAGAATAAAAGGATATTTATTTCTTTTTACAGAATTACTTTTTCCTGAATGCAACACACACCAGGGGTTCATTTCTAAAAATATTTGCAAAATTCGTTGTAAAGAATATAAAAACTAAGAATCTAGAAATAGTTTACTAAAAGATTTAAATCTTATTTATGTATTGCAAACTACTATTTTTTTTTTATTAAAATAGAATTTTTTTAAACTTAGACAACTACTCATAGATTTACTGTAATATTAATGCATTATGGTCAATATTGTAGTAATTAATAAAAAATTTAAATGTTAGTGTAGAAATGAGTTTTACCATTGTCTGATACCTATTGTCAACACCATTTTTTGGTCATTCCATTGGTCTTGCTTAAGAATTCTGCAATTTTTCCAGGGTTTCCTCAATTTTTCTAGCTTTTTTGTCTAATTTGTTGCCCATCCGTCGTGAGGACCGACACTGCTTTAACCTGTAATCTGTCTCTTGTAATTTTATGCTATTCTCCAAAAGTGGACCATTTGGCTCCCGTTGGAAGATATTTCTTCTTCTGTCTGTTAATCAATAATAAAGATCATTATCTTCAACGTCCAGACCTATTCGTTTGGATTTCTTTTCTCTTTTGTCGAAAGAACGTTGCTTGTTTTCTTCATATTTTGTTATTGATTTTCTGAGTCACGAAAGAGTCTTCCATTACTAGGTTCAAAATACTTGTTACCAATATGCCCCTATAGTTGATAAAAACTGTTTTGTTTACTTTTTATGAGTGAATGATACGTATTGTATACTCTTTTGCAATCATTTGGTATCATAAAATTGATAAAAGCTTTCACGAATTGATTCATACACACAGTAAGGCATTTAAAGTGTTTTTTAATTAAATTTTAATTATTTTCTTGCGTTTCTTGCTTTTCCAGTCACCTTCTTTTCCTATATTTTCATTCATCATTTTGGAGATTTCTGATTCGCATGGAATTTTCCACTGCTTTATCAAATTATTCCTTGTTCTTCTTTTTTTCCTTCGATGATCGGGCTCCCACTTCCATATTTTCAAAAGTTATCTATCTGGCGTTCGCTTTAATTGGTACCAGTACCACTTTAGTGTCTCTGCTTCTATGATATCTACATATTATATCCATATCAATATCACTCTTATTTCTCCATTAGTAACTTTGGGCAAATTAGCTAAATAGCAACGTCAAAAATAATTTTGAGTGCTTTCAATCGGTTTTTTTTTTGTAATCTCCTACAGCTCCGATCTGTATAATGCAATATTTCCTACAATAATCTTGTAAAGTCATCTGTTACTCCTATTTTCGTGTTCCTGTTCTAAATCACCGGATTCGGTTACCTAATTGAAACTTTTTCTAGTACTATCCTATTTCTAATATTCTCGTCGCTGCCTCCTCTTTATGAAATTAATGACCCAAGATGTTGGTCTTTGTGGCTATCTTTTACTAATGATCGATTTTCCATGATCAAATCTCTACTGTTTCTCCCTACCGCTAAATACTTTTTCTTAATCAAAGGCATTTCCAAGCTACATTTGATATATTCTTCTTTAAGGTCATCTTACTATACACGCTTTCTTCGTCGCCTGCTGAAATAACCTAATCATCGACAACGTTGAAAGCCAGCAATATATCGTTCATTCCTTTAATGCCCATTCTGGTACATTTGTTTTTTCAGTTTTAAAACTTCATTGAGATATATTTTGAATAGGGTTGGAGCAAAACAATATAGTTGAATGATATCTTTTTGACACTTGTAATACCTGAGACGCGGATGTACCGATTTTAACACAGCTTGTATTATTACTGTACAAATGTCTGTGACTGATGTTTGGTCTTTATATTAGCTGAATATCTGTGTTGTTTGATTCCATGGATTTTAGTTTGTTAAAACAATTCCAGCTCTCTTTTTCTCTTTTCATTTTCCTGCTACATCGTATGTATTTTGCCCTCATAAGCAAAAACGCAGTGTGTACAAAAATTACACATTTAATGTTGTTTATATCACTGGAATCAGAACAACTTTGCTTTTTTATTTAACTTAGTAGAAATGCACTATCTGCAGCTGTATATTAAAATATTATTTGTATAAACGCAGTCTCTACAGCAACTACTACATACCTGCTTAAAAAAAATGCAGAAAGTACGATGTGCCAAGGAAGTATTATGTAAGAAAAAGAAGATAAGGTTGTGACTAGAAAGGATAATCCACGAAAAAGCAAAAATATCTGGGAAAGCTTTGAAAGCTGGAAAATTAAAAAGCACAATTAGAAAAAAATGAAACATTCAGTTTTGCCTCCAGGAAATTGTAATAAATGTTGCAAATTATTGGCTTTTAACGACAATTTCCCTAGAGAAAGAAGATGAGAAACTAATTCTCAATTTTGACATTTATCGCACAATGAAATAAGTACATTTGTTCTTTGATTGGGAAGAAAATGGCTGTTAAAAGAACACAACAACTTTAGAAATAAAAGATTATTCTTTTGTATACTTTTCCTAGAGGTGTGGGGAAAATATCAAGATGTGTAAAACTTTTCTTATCCACTCTTGGGTTTAAGAACACAAATGACTGGTTTGTTTATGAAGTCTTGTCCAAAACACCAAAATCAGTCACATGCCAGTATAGTACAATGTATATCATTGTGAAGTAAAGCTAAAAACCTTTCATTTGCTAAGCTTGATGGGTTTAACTTACACAGACATTCGGAGAAGAACTTTCGAGAACATTGCAAAAACTGTTGTGCATGGAAAAACATATAAATGCTGCAGATGAGTCTAGACAATTTCAGAGCTCGAACCCTGAAAAAACACAAAAAAGATACTAATGTTGCTACGTTTGGAAACCTTTAAAAAGGTCTTGTTTATGCAGAGGTTAACAACATATCATGATAGTTTTGTTCGATTAGGAAGTCAAAGTACGTCAAAACCGGTTGCTGTTTTATGGCATGAAGCAATGATAAGTCGAAAAAAAGTGTTTGCTTGTAATAATTGTAAATTCTCCTGAAATTAATGCTAATACCATCACCCTCAACTACTTTGATGGTGGCGATACATTTATTTCGGCAGATAGCTTCCATCAAAATGTGGAATAATCTCTAAGAAAATAAGGTAAAACTTACGACTCTCAAGACTTTTGCAATGCAGTCCAGACTAAAAGTCTGCAGTGAAACAAATGAATATTTCAGATTTTTATCAATGGATTGATTATACCTCACAATTTAAATTAAAAAAAGATCCCAATCGTGTATACTTGGCTGATATGGTTCATGTACACTTCGTCAGATAAAAAAAAATGTGTTTATAGTAGTAGCAAGTGATAGATTGGACTGTTACTTGATGAAAATTCATTTTATATTACAATAAAACACTATAAACTTTGGTATGATCTATTTGGTATAAGATTCAGTTAAAGACTATAAAATATAAACACATACCAAAAATAGGTCACTTAAAAAAGGCACTCTGCCAAAACAGCTGCAGAAAGATATCAAATTTTTACCGTGCAGCTGATACAAATTTTATTGAACATTGATTTTGCGCGCGTAACACATGCAAAACAGACGGTCGCTTCAAGCGTTGTTTCTAAGAGAACAGTTTATTCTACACCAAAAATGGTTATAAACATTTTTATTTAAAATTATTTCAGCTACATTTTTTATTTAAAACATTTTTTTCTACGGTGTACAGATTCTGTGTAAATCGATTTTTTTGCGTTTGTACCCCCTGCGACGGGTGTTTTAGGGGAAGCCCGGGGTAAAAGTAGTAAACTTTTTTGCAGCTTTTTTAATATCCCAAAATTAATATTCTTGGCAAAATTCAGCTTGTTCGTATGATTTTTAGTTATTCAATGGCATTTTCGTCTCTGACGATTGGAGTATTATCTTATTTATAACTATATTTTTTAATTTACGCTAATATCTCATTTAACCATTTAATAGTCTCAGTGCTATTACTGGAAGATAAAAACATCTCCGTATGTTGTTTAAAAGTAGTCAACCATCTCTTCCATTGTTTCGACATCTCATTATTAACGAAAGGAATTCAATTGTTTACGAATATATTTTCCGTTTTTGTATTTAATCTGGCAATTTGCAAAATTCTTTTCACAAACACATAAATAGCTTTACTACTGTTATCTTCTGAACAATTATGTACTAATTATATTTACTCGTAATAACTGAATAGTTTCTACGTCTCTGTGACCCTGGATACAAAATAATAATTGACAAAACCGTTCAGTTTAATCTATCTCCATATAATCGAACTTATTGTACAAAATCGTGATTTGCCTTAAACTATATAACAAGGTCCACGAATTTCGTTATCAATTTGTAAATAGTCAATAATAATATACTAATCTTTAAACTAAAGCACAAGAAACAAATGTCGATCGATTATTCGCTAGACTTTGTAGAGTACTGTTTTGTAAAATTTTATATTATTAATAACTGCTTCATGTTTAGCTTGTAACAATCTAGCAACCAATGTATAACAGTGTAACTATTACCTAGATTATTGGATGCTAATTATTTAACAATAAAATGACACATTAGTCATGTAACTTTAAAGACACTTGAGGTGCTAATTTTATTGCTGAAGCTTCGACTAGCTCTGTTTCAGGTGTAGATAGGTCTTATCTTACAAGCTGCATACTGTGTTGAAGGCTTGGCATTGTTGATAGTGAATATAGTAGCTTATACATTTATATGTTTTTTTTCATTATGCAGAAGAAAAACTAACAATAATTGAAAGAACAGGTAATGCTCAATTTACCTTTAGGATCTGTTGTTTCCGCGATTCAATTTTAAGGGCTAGTGCATTCGATTTTTTAAATTATTCAAAA